GATCATTCTTAGGGATGTGCAAGCACAAGGCTGACACTTCATGACCTGATAATTAGTCCTCTTAAATTTTGTGTCCCACATGCCTCATTTGTCTCACTCTAGTCTTAATCTTGACAAGCAAACAGAAACCAACTGGAGTTAATTTAATTGGAAAGGAAGTCAATTGTGTGTTGATGGGGAAAACTAGACTTTTGGTGGAGATAGTAATGTGGCACCTACAAATAATGAGTTATTATGCACCTGAAACCTACATAATGTTGGAAAGCAGTGTTACCTTAATAAAAACATATTAAATAATTTAAAATGGAAAAGAAATTTAAAAAAGAGAATGTATTTGTTTAGAAAGCAATTGTGTGGGTTACTCATAGAATCATTTTTAAAAATCTGGGGAACCAGGTCTGCACAGTGAAAACAAGGTCCCAAATCATGCCCTGGTCCAACAACAACATCTAATATTCCATTGTGGGAGAGACACACCCGAGTTTGGACTGCCCACCACAGTGGGACTAGACAGCAGACCAGTTCCACTATAGCCTTGGTCCATGCCATTTTTGGAAAATAGGTGAACCACCGCTGCTGCTCCTACTCTCATCAAAGTCAGTTCCGAGCAGTCCCTGTTTCATCACTAGCTTCAAAAGTCAGAGTGGTGCAAGTGATCTGAATGACAGTCTAGGTCACGCGTCCAAGATGCAAGGGCTCTTGCAAAGTGAATATTCACCATTTTTAAACTTGTATGGTGGAAACAGACTTAGATTTATTAGTGGGAAATTTAGATCCTGGACAGCAAACACCTATGACAAGAGGTAATTGATCTATCAATATTGAGAAATAAATGGAAATGGCAGAAAGTCCTATGAAAGAAGCAAAAATGGGAGTTAATGAAGGATGAAAAGGGTTTGGATGTCTACTTAAAGTACAATGAGGAGGACCTCCCCGGTGGCGCAGCGGTTGAGCGTTGGGTTGCAAATCTGCCCGCAGCCTCTGCAGTGCTGGTTCGATCCCCGGCTGCTCCCCGGCCACCGGAGAAGGGTCCCACATGGTGCGCAGACCTCTCCTGCCGCCCGCTGCTCCCCTCAGCAGTGTGCTTCGGTCCTGCCTGCTCTGCTCCCCACTCTAGTGAATTCTCTCACCCTCCAGCGCTTCTGACTGTACCCAGTGCTTGCATAAATAAATCTTTAAAAAAAAAAAAAAGTACAATGAGGGACTTCAAGTGAGAACTAGGGAAGGGAAGGATCTGTGAATTTGGAAGTTAAAGGGGAAAAAAAAGAATCCCTAAGTTTCTGAACTCAGTAATTGAATGGATAGGTGTGCTTTAACTAAAATGGAAAGTGGAAACCAGATGTAGTGGTAAAAGTCCAAGAGTCCCATTTGGGACATATTCACCTTGCAACATAGTATGTCATTAAATAGACAAGGCTCCAACTCAAGTCATTAAAGTACCTCAAGACTTGCAACAAACCAATCTGCAAACATTTCAAGCCAAACTGGTATTAAACATTTCATGACACTCAGAGCCCAGAAACATTACGTCCCTATATTAAAAAAAAAAAAATAACCAAATGTTTCAAACATACAGAAAAGTACAGGAATAAAAGCTTATGCGACACCTGTATATCCACCCTCCAGATTTAACAAATGTTAACATTTTACTATATTTGCTTCAGATCTTTTTTTAAATAAATAACACAGTGCACATACAGCTCTACTCCCTCATCCTACTCCTCTTAACTGCATGATACCATTTATATAAAATTCTGAAAGCTTCAAAACAATTCTATGTATTTTTATGGACTGCTGCATATATAGCAAAATTACAAAAACAAGCATGTGAGGACACACCAACAGCAGAATATATTTTTTTGTTGTTTTCCTAATTTACTAAAATGTAGCTCAATCCCCACCTATCAGCGGTTCCAGGAAATCACATCTCAGTCATTTTGGAGACTGGCATTCCCCTTCACTTACAAGAAATCTACTGCTGTGGCAAACCAGGAACATTGAAGGGAACCTCATATTTTCAGGTGAGTAGAATCACATCTAAGATGTTGGTCATCTGAATGAAGGAAGGCTGAATCTTTACAGCTTCAATTGCCTTGTGGCAAATGTGCCTCTAGAACCGATGTCACTGGTCCGGTGTTGCCAATAGTTTGTGTTGAGCCCCAGGGTCACCCCATCACCCCTCATCTGGGATCCCTGAACCCTGGCACAATTGCCTGAGCACAAAACATAAGACCTACCCACCAACCCCCTTCCCAATTTCAAGAAACACCATTCGTCCCAAAGTTAGAGCTTCCACCACACATCAACATTGCAAACCTCCAGCTTTGAGAGAACAGTCCTCCAGAACACACTTTGCACTGTGCACAAAATGTCCGTTCAGGGAAATAAGCTGAGTTCTAACCACTAGCTTCAGAACGGAAGGCTTTTTAGCTTTCCCGGTATGAAGAGTCAGCATTCAAGATGGTAAGTTTTATCAACCCTCACAGATAAACACAAAAGCATCTCTCCCAGCACCGGTTGGCACGAGACCACTCATTTCTCCACAGGTTACCTTGTCCTACACTTCACAATTTCCCTCTTGTGCTTGTTGATGACTCTCTCTGAAGGAGCTAGCCTGGAATCTTCGTGCTAGTCGCTTCCAGGAGGTTCTATTCTCTACATCTTTTGTCTCTTAAAAAAAAATGGGGTATAAATGCTAGGCCACTGACACCTCACTATTTTAATCACTCACTACTCTTACTTCCACCACATAGTCTCTTTCTTAAATTTGTGATCTCTTACCAATTCCAGTCACTTTCTATTCTCCTCAGGAAGGTCTCCTTTTTTTGGTTTGTTTTTCATTCTCCTGCACTCTATTTCACTGGAGAACCCCCAAATCCCCTGATGAATAAGAGCAGGCTTATAGCAACATACCAGGATTCAAAAAAGGAAAATAAATTATATTTTGAAGTAATATACCTCTTGCCCGCCCATTCATCTCTCTCTCTCTCTCTCTCTCACACACTCACACACACACACACACACACACAACAACAACGACGACAACCATGAAACAGATAACAAATGCTCTATCATATTCAAACAAGTGACAGAATTGAAAAATCTGTCTCCAAATTTCTGGGGAAGCTCTCGACACTTACATTCTCATGCGTATACTGATGAACCTACTTTCTCAAGTAAAAGGTCATAGTTTCTTAATTTATTTCATTATTAAAATGCATCTATTTTTGCCACATTTCTACTTAATTTACTCAATAGCTGTAGTGCAAGATTTGCGGAATAGATTGGGGACTTAAGCATCACTTATACTTTTATTTCTCAGATACATTGTGTTCCCAGTTCCACTTAGAAAGAAATGCAACTGACTAGTGGCTCCCCACATGCTAAGTCAAGTGACAAGAGCAAAATTTCATATTCCTCCCCAGTATAGAAATATTTAAGTTTTCTGGAAATATTTCATCAAGCAGTAAGAGCAAAAATTCCCATTTTTAGTATAGAAATATTTGACTTTTCCAGAAACATTTCACTTTTTTAGGCACAACTGTTTTATTTCAATTATTAGAGATTCCATGATCTAATGATTTCCTTCCCCAGAACTCTTTTACTCATGGGGACAAGAATTTATGGAGCACATATGGAAGGTTCTCAAAATTAAGTAAACAAGATAGGCAAAACTCCATCTTTTTTATAGACTTCTTTTCCTTCTGTCTTGTTTTCCTGCCCAAAGTTGCTAAATAATGTAAGTAGAATATTTAGTTACTCTTAGGCTGAGTTCATAAAAAAAGAAATTCAAAACTATTCAAATCTCACATTTTAAAAAGCTTTTAAAAATGAGATAAATTCATGTTTGTATCTTTCATGTCCAGAGTATTCACAGCATACAATTGTCTTGCAATAAATATTTGAGAATGGAAAATATCTGTAGAACACTGTTCGATGTAGCCCTGCTTAGGAGGCAAAAAGAAAAAGAAATTCACTAGCTCTCTGATTCCTTAGATTGTATTCTCTCAGCAGCCTGGTGGTATTCCACATCCCCTTTTTCCCACACTCTCCCAACCCCAAATCTCTAAAAGGCTGAATTCAGGAAGGCAGGACTGGACAAATCAAATGCCTCATTAAGAATGCCTGTAGAAATATGCCTAAAGATGAAATTATAGCTCTTAGACCAGCACTCAAAACCCTGGAATAAAAGAAAGAGAGAAGGAGGTGGGGGCAAAATTATGCGATTTGACCTTGGTTACTTATCCAGCAAATGTTTCTGAAAGCTACTAACTACTAATTGTGGTAAAGGTTTTTAAGCCGGGAAATGGTGAGTCTCTCTCTCTCTCTCTTTCCCTGATGCTCTTGTAATTCATGTTCAGTTTGGGGATGGCACTGTGTCTTAAATACAATAAAATGTAGAGAAATCTGAGCACTCTTAAGTTAACAGGTATGCCAATTTGGAGCCATAAAAGATGCAACTCTAGAGATTTCAAATAATTTAATAAGGTGTAACCATTTTTCTGAAGTTCTGTGGTTTTGTTGTGTGTGTGTGTGTGTGTATTTTTTTTTTTTTTATCAGCCTAAAAAGCTCTACCATGAGGCCTAATTCAAGGCTGCAGGCAGGAGAAATTACTGACTTCATTAGGCCTGCCTGGTGCTCTCCAGTAAAAGCGAGCAGCACCAGGCGTTCCTATTCTAGGAGACTCTGTAGAAAGCTTTTGCCCTGACAGATCTCCACTGGCTTCTTGTGAAAAGCAGCAGTGAGGAGGCTATGTGCTATTGTGTGCCAGGCTCAGAGGTTTGTGTCCCCCTCTTTGGCTGAGAAAAGGCCCACAGGAGGGCCTGGTCTCACCCGAGTCACAATGGCCTTGGACCCTTGAATACCATTCAGGGTTTGCTGAAGAGAGATTAATGTTTATCATTATTGCCATTAATGGTATTACTGTTATTGCTGTTATTATCCGTTGCTTATTGGAAATGAACATTCTGTGGTCTTTTGAAACATTCCAGCACTTTCTCTGCAGGATGTCGAGTAGCCCAGGGTTCCCTACAAGGAAACAAGTTGTAAAGTGAGTCTACCGCTTTTCCCTGTACTTCTTTTGGTGCAACTATTTGTGTTTTTGTTTGCTAAGATAGATAAGAACACAGCAAAGGGTGGTGTATTAGCTAGAGTGAAGCTGGCTTCATTGAGGGAATCAATCCCCAAATCAGTGGCTTAATGCAATACAAGATTACATCTCATTTATCGAAAATCTGAGCAAGGTATTATAAAGGGAAGAAAGCATTATTCCAAGCCCTGAAAACACCAAATGGGTACCTTCAATTTGCAGGCTACTAAGTCCACAGCGGTGGCTGACTCCATTCCTTCTACGTGAATTGGGGGGAGACCACACCTGGCAGGTCTCAGTGGAGCACACACCACTTCTGCCACATTCAGCTGGTCAAATGTAGCTGCCAGGGAATCTGGGAAATGGAGTCTACTGATTCCTGAAGATAGGATTGGAAGCTGTGCTATCTGATTTTGGAAACTTGTTTTATAAAAATTGGGATGGTGGGTTAAAGCACATGAGGGCTCATGATACATGGAATCTAAAAACATCAGACTCACACAAACAGAGTGGTTTCTTAGGCCAGGAGTATGGGTGGAAGTGGGTAGATGTTGGCCAAAGTGTCCAGACTTCTGTCAATAATGTGAATATATTCTAGGAAATGACATACAGGTTGGTGACTAGAGTGAGCACTGTTTTGCATGTTTGAAAGTGGCTGTGAGAATAAAGCTCTCCTAGTCTCACCATAACAACAATGATAACAACAAATAGTAATTATGGGAGGTAAAGGAGGTGCCAACTAACCTTATTATGGTAAATATTTTGCAATATAAATGTGTAACCAGCCATTACATTGTACCTTCAGCTTACACAATGTCAGTAACATCTCCATAAAGCCTGAGGGGGGAAGTCCCAAGGGTGGGGGGGCACTGTTCTAGGGAGCCTTCCCTGGGAAGGTGACATTTGTGTGAATAGGGAGCACAGTGGAAAAAGATCTAAAACCCTTTGCAAGTTGCACATACCTATAGTTTATTGTTATTCTTTATTGTTTCAGCAAAGTCTGTTTGAGCTCTCCTATAAATCAGTTCCTCTTGAAGCACTTTTACATTTCTGGGAGCGACTGGTACAGTGATAGACACAGAATGGGCACTCAAATGTCAATGTCTTTTATCTGAGGCCATTGAATTTCTAAAGAGATAAAAGCTCTAATATCCTATCTGGAGGTAGACATCTGGTTCCCCGGTTATGCTTGCTCTAGTGGGAGATAGGAAGGTCGACTCTTCCAAATACAGATTTTCATCCAATTTCCTCCTGCTTTTAACCAACAACTTATGCCCGCCTGTCACCACGTTGGTGCATCTGAGCTTGTGGTACACATCACGCTTTTCTTCTATGTTCCTCTTTATAAAAGCACTGACCCTCACTGGACCTTATGAGTTTCTTACCAGTTTCTACACCTCCGTACGCTTTCCATCTCCAGAAGTTTCATTAAAATCTCTCAACTGGCAATGTCTCCTCCACCCTCTTTGTTCTTGTGGGTTTCGACAATATTCTTAATTTTTTGAGAGGCTTTTTCTTAAAATACAGATTTCTTGACTTAATACTTGAAAATTCAGGTAAAGTAAATATGACTTGGAACCTAGATCTACCTCATGAAATATTAGGTAGATATTTGGATAGATGGATAGATAAAATAAGAGAGGGGAGATGAGAGGTTGGAGGAGAGAGAGAAAAGAGATGGAGAAGTTGAGAGAGACACAGAGAGAGAAATTTTCCTAAGCTAGGCTGACTGACTGGGACAGGAAAACAGTAATTGAATATCTGACTTATTAGAGTTTAGAAATATATTTCTAGCTTATAGTATTGCATAGACTTCATAGGAATATCTATGATGTATATGGATGTTCATGAATGTATGTTTACGATGAGATGTATGTTTAAGGTGAGAGTCATGTTAACTATGTTTTCTGCAAGAAAGAAAAAAAATTAAGCCTAGTTCTTTGATTTACTAGTTGTGTAAACTTGGCCAGCTCATTTGAAAAATTAATATCAACTTCTATAAAATTTTTCTGAACCACTTCAGGATATTACATCCTACTCTTTCACCCTTAAATATTTTAGTGTGTATTTCTCAAATATGAAAACATTCTCTTATATAATCTTATTGTTGTTATCAAATTCAGGAAAAACAACATTAATGCAATATTGTTATCCAACTTGTCTTCAAACATTTGGTACAATGTAAACATTGATTTGATACCTCAATAAGGGAGAAAAAGGGGCCAGGGGCCAGGGACATAAATCCTCATCTATCATAATATAAATTCAATAAATAATGACTAAGGTTGAAAATCAGGAAATAGATGCATAAACATGTTATTTGAAAATATGGAGTTGTATGCAAGACAGCGGGGCTGAAAGTGGTTGTCTTGGCGAGCAGGTAGGGATGTGATAAGGGATGAAGGATTTGTTATAGCTCTGAGTTCAATTTGTCCTTCAGATACATGTAAAAGTAAAAAAGTAAGACCTTACTCTGCTTTTCCACCTGACTCTACATCTCTCAACACTTCTAAGGAAACAACTCCATGCAATTCCTTTCACTGGAGGAGACAAGATAGAGGGCCAAGAAGCAAGGTACATGAGATGGCCCCCTTGAACAGAACTACTTTGAAAATGTGTAGTGTAGGCGGCAGGACTGAAGTCAGGTCTTAGGCAAGGATGTGTCTAGTATGACTGAATCCTGGCCAAGAGGTGAAGAGCAGTAAGATGAAGATAGAGCAATAGGTTTATGGGAGCTAATAATTCCATTTGGCGACCCTGCTAGGAGACATTTAGTGTGGTGGTAGAGGCGAGAAGTTGGTTGCTGTAGATAAACTCACGAATGAGAAGTAAGACAATGAGGACGAACTTCTTTTTAGAGACATTTGTAGGCAAGATAATGCAGTGAATATTGGGGAATTTAAGGTCAAATGACATTGTTGGAAAATAATTGGATTTTTTCTAGATTTTTAGCAATTGTGACTTAAGTTTCAATAAACATCCTCATTTAGTTTAGTGTGCACTTGTTTTCATTTCTTTGGGTAAATCCCAAGGAATGGAATTATTGGGTTTTACGGTAAACATATGTTTAATTTTGTAAGAAATTTACAATTTTGTAAGAAGTTCAAAGTGACTATCATTTTGTACCTTTACTGCCAGTTCCCTTTCCTCCACATCATTGCCAGTGTAACAGAGTGGTCCCCAGGGAAAGGGGAGGTTCCAGGTTCCCTGCCCCACCCAAGGGAGAAGGGAGTGAGCAGGGAGGAGAAGAAGCTGCAGAGGAGCCTGGGGAAGGAAAGAAGCAGGAAGGAGCCAGAAGGAGACCTGGAGGAGGCACGTGGAGCAGAGAGACACGTGAAGAAGCTGTGCTTACTTCTGGCCTTGGACCTGTGCCAGAGTCTTGGGGGACATGGAAGGAGACACTTAGAAGAGATGTGGGTGAGAGTTACATAAAGAGGTTAATATGTCACCATTTTCTTGATTTTGATTTTGCTCTTTTCCTTCCAGACTTGTAGAGACCTTTGGCACCTTCCCTATGGGTCCCCACCAGAAGGGGCTCTAGACTTGTGACAAGCTTTTTTGGGTCTCAGTGGCCCTGCTTTGACCCAATCCTGTTTGGCTGGGCATTTACCCACGAGGGGATGGGTCACTTTGGGTGCTTAACTTGGAAACCATTTTATCTACTCTTTCCCTTCTCTTGTCTTTATTGCACACTAATTGTATTAAAGTTCCTTTCCATTAACGGTCTTAAGCACTACAGTATGTCCTGTCTTGATGTAGCAAATGGCAAAACTTATTAAGAGCAGGCAAATTTGGGGGTTCTGGGGTACCCCTCCACCCAGCCCTGTAACACCAGCACTTGGTATGTCATTTAAAAATGTTGTTATTCTTATTTTAACTGACATGTAGTAGTCAGGACCGCATGATTTTATGGCAATTTCTACTAAATAGACATGGAACAAGTAATTTCAATGATACATAAAATCTTCTGGAGAAGGAAAAAAAAAATGAATATACACGCCCCGACTCATATTTTATGAGATTAAAATGACCTATTGCCCAAACATGACAAGGACAGAACAAGAAAGGAAAATTACACACCAAACTCGTGGATGACATAGATGAAAACAAAAATCTATATAAAATATCAGTAAACTGAATGCGGTCATATATAAAAAGATAAAACATAGAACCTGGTTCAAGATATCCCAAATTTGCAAAAGTATTTTAACATAGAAAATCAGTTCGTGTAAATTAACAGAATAACCAAATTAAAAAGAAACTGGTACCGTAATGTCAGGTGTTCAGGCCTGGTCTCCCAGCCAGGAATGGATCCCAGGCCGCAGTGGCAGTGGTGAGTCCCAGCCACTGGACCACACAGGTTGGTGCCTCAGGAGGCTGCAGCAGGAACTTCTCTGATGCTGACGTCATTTTGTAGAGTTAGTGCGGGATCCTTAGGTTCACCCTGGGAAAGTTTTCACCAGAGCTCCCATTTCAGCAGCATATGGCGAGTTCCCCAGGTGAGTTTCTCCACGGGATAGAGACATTAGCTATATTTAAAGAGCAGGTTTATCAGGGAAAGGAAAAAGGGACAGGTTTTGCTAAGAGAGGCCTGCATGGTTGCAGGTGGGCAGCCTTGACAGGTCACAGGCAGGCAGGAGGCTGCTGCCCTGCAGAGGGAGAGAGTTGGTGAAAAGAGTCACCTGCATAGTCACAGGTGGGCAGTGGAGTGCTGCCCCAAGCCTTTGCAGAGACTGCATTGATATAGTCCTCTTCTGTTTGGGAGGGGTCACTCCTCCGTGGAGTGGCCCATTTGTTGCCAATGGTGGGTAACAGGCAAAACTAGAAAGGGACCAGAGATTCCAGGGTGGGCCCAATCTCCATATCTTTACCCTCAGGTCTGTGCTCCACTCCCTGTAGCATCTGATCCTGCTTGGGCCTCATGCCTTGTGATAAGGCACCGGTGCCTGAGGGGCTGACCT